GGGGGGGGGGGGGGGGGGGGGGGGGGGGGGGGGGGGGGGGGGGGGGGGGGGGGGGGGGGGGGGGGGGGGGGGGGGGGGGGGGGGGGGGGGGGGGGGAGGAGAAGAGAGAGAGATAGGGTGGAAGAAACACGCAACGCGATTTGGGGAAAAAGAACGCGTTTTCCATTTTTAACTTTTGGAAATGATTTTCAAAATACCAAAAAGAGCACATTTTCAAAAATTTCAAAATAGACATTCAAAACACAAAACTTAAAACGAATTGAAAACTCAAAATACAAAACTGAAACACGAAGAGAACGGCCTCTTAATATTTGGCTAAAATTTTGCATTTAAATTAGTTTAAATTTTAGAATACAGCAAGCCATGTTTACAGCTTCAACTCATAATTTAACATGTAATTTCTTAATATTCAACATTATTCTAACCATTTCTTGCAAGGACCTATTCTTCCTTTCTACAACATCACTTTGCTCAAGGGTTTTAGGAGTAGATAACTCATCAAAAATACCATATTCTTCATAAAATTTTGAGAAGTTAGAATTTTTAAATTCCTTACCATGATTAGTCTTAATTCTTACAATTTGTTCCTCTAAAGATTTTTTTAGGAGTGAAAGTTTGATATAAGAATGTGAATATTTCAAAATATCAAAATTTTCTTTTAAGAAGTCTATCCAAGTGTATCTAGAGAAATCATCACCAACCAAATAAATATGCCTCTTACTATTGGGACTTTTAGTTTGAAAGGGCTCCATCAAGTCCATATGTATCGATTTAAGATTGTGAGAGATAGTAAGAATCTGACATTATTTATATGCAGTTCTAGCTTGTTTGCCGTTTTAACATAAGCCACACATACCTTCAGGTATTGTGTGAGTTTAGGAACTCTTCTAATTGCATTGAGTTAAGTTTTGTGCTACATGTTTGTAAAGTCAATTTTTGAAATATGACATAAAATTTTAGATTCAAGCAAATAGTATTTATCACTAAACCTAACACCACGTAGGGCACAACTGACATAATTTTTCAGAACCTTACATGTATTTTTACTGAACATTACTGTTACGACTCATAAATAGAAGCGCCACGTGGCATCATATTTAGGTAGTGAGACCAACCCAATTGAAACATGATGTATTTTCTTAACCTCTGATGTGTTTACCCAGGCCCAATGTTGTACCAAGGCCCATTATCTGAGGCCTAAACACTATCTGAAGCCCAGGGAACCTACACGGATTTGAGGCTCTCTAGCAGCCGGTGATGACCCACGTGCAGAGATTTACTCATGATGAAGATCTTTATTTAAATGATTGATGTAACTCTTGTGTAAAGTATGTTTGTATCTTGTCTTATCAATGTAAGAGTATTTAATATTTTGTAAGGTTAGGAGAGTCAACCGAATGAGTAGGACTTGATGTCTTGGCCGAGGAGATGAAGCCACGTGTAAATTGATCCAGAGTTTGTAATATTATAAATGCCCCCACCATGCAACATGTAAAGGTTAATGCATTTCTAAATACTTGGAGCTCTATTATTCTCTCATTGATCACATTTCAATTACAAATCTTGTTCTTTATCGATTGGTTTCTTATACAATGACGTTCCATTTATTTTGCCGGAAGCCCGAACGGTGACGTCACGTGTCGTTGAGCTCCTCCCATGTCCTGATTTTAGAGATATCATGATCGTCGATCGGCATTAATGTGTNTTATTCTCTCATTGATCACATTTCAATTACAAATTTTGTTCTTTATCGATTGGTTTCTTATATAATGGCGTTCCATTTATTTTGCCGGAAACCCGAACGGTGACGTCTCGTGTCGTTAAGCTCCTCCCACGTTCAGATTCTGGAGCTATCTTGACCGTCGATCGGTATAAACGTGTTCGATTAAGCTTACGTATACACGAGTGGGTCCGACATCTGTTGGCAACATTTTTTGAAGTTAACAGATTGACGCTGTCTGTGGGAAACCACATTATAACCACGAGCAACCTCGTGGAAAAAGCTGTTTGAGAAAATACTTTGGGCATCTCCTTGAAAAAGGATTTGTTCTTGAGAAAAGAACAAGAGGAAGTCCTCAGAGTTGAAAAATATTCAAGGTTTTAAGCTTGGAAAGAGATGAGTTCAGAAGAGGATGTCCCTCCCAGGAGCACAAGGTAGACTGATAATGAGGCCCCGGCAGCCCGACGCCAACACCATCACCACCATAGACGAGGTGGAAGAAGGTTAGCGGCCTAACTTACTAGGGAAATGGTAACTATGACAGCCAATATGAGGAGTATCACCAACCAAAACCTGGTGCTGCAAGAGCTGTTGATGCAGATGCAAGGCCATGGAGGTCGCCCAACTACCCCTATGTTCCTCAGGAGCAGTATCAACCCGAGGAGGAGCAAAGTCAAAGAGCTCGCCCTCCCAGGCATAATAAGGAAGGGAGCCTTATTGAAAGAGAAGTGGGCCAACCCACCGAGGCCCCATTCAACATGGAGGGTAATTTCCCTCCAAAGTATAAACCAGAACCCAGGCCTCAGAGGTCCGTCAGCATGGTTGACAGGTTAAGCCCAGTCGAACCGAGGCGTAGGCAATGGAGTGAAGCACCAGTGCCTAGGAATAGGCCACAGTCCCTACCTCCCGAGACTTGGCAATCGGAGGAAAGGCAAAAACATGCCTCCCTCGAGTTGTACTGCCTTAGGCGTGAGCATCAAAGGAGGGAAGAGAAGGCAGGTAACTAGGCAGGATCTTCTGCGCTACCGCCCAAGTATGAGGCAGAAGCTAACTATAATTTGGATGTCCCACAAAGATCCTGTGACCTAGATGATGATGATAAAAACCTACCATTTTCACGAGAGTTAAGAAATGCCCAGGTTCCAAGCTATTACGCAATGCCTAAAATACCGAAATATGTGGGAGAGGCGATCTGGCAAAGCACTTGAACAGTTACAAGGCGCACATGAGCTTGAGAGGTGCCATCCCAGCTGTGAAGTGCAGGGCTTTCCATTTAATCCTGAGTAGAGCCGCTGAAATATGGTATAGCAGGCTACCACTTGGGAGCATTTGGAGTTGGCCAGAATTTAAAACCACCTTTTTGAAG